GCTTTATATTAGAGCCGAATTAGAAGAGGTTAGAGTGTTTTGGGCAGGAGGTTTTCTCGATGAATTAGTGTAAGTTTTGTGTTGTATTGTATAGTATTAGTTGTATGTTACAAGAGTGTAGTTGTTTGACTCTTAGTTGTGGTGTTAAAACTTAGTTTGTAAATATTGATAGTTGTTTAAATGTACAAATAGTGGTGGATGCAAATGTTTACTTTTTTGTTTAATTTGTTTTGTGGCATTTGAGTTTTGTGAATGTATTTGTGTTCGTTGTTGATTTATGTTAGTTGTTGAATATGTATATTTTGCAGAGTATTCTGTGCAAAATTAAAAATGTAATAAATTGGAACAAAAAAAATCTTTTGAAAAAAAAAATCTTTTTGCATTGGTTATTACCAAATAAGGGATGCAAAAGCCCTTCACAGAAATGGCGCCAATTCTAGGAATAGGCTTTTGAATCGGTTATTTGGAAATAACCGATTCAAAAACTTCTTCAGGGCTTTTGAATCGGTTATTTAGAAATAACCGATGCAAAAGCCTAAGCATTTGAATCTGTTATTTCCAAATAACCGATTCAAAAGCCTCTTCCCAGAATTGGCGCAATTTCTGGTAAGGGCTTTTGCATCGGTTTTAACAACCGATGCAAAAAGTAACCTCAGCATTTGCATCGCTGGCTTTTGCATCGGTTCAAAATCGATTTAAAAGGGTCAAAATAACCGATTTAAAAAGTCTTTTTGTAGTAGTGCATATATATTAAATAACAGTATTTTAATTTATATTTTTTTACCTCTATATCTAGATTTTAGTTTCATTGAACATATACTCCATACTATTTTACATGTTTTGTTTTTATTCTATTATATTTTCATTATTATTACGGATTACAAGTTAATAGTGAATATCGTAAAAGTACTCGTTTTCAAAAATATAAAGACCATATTATTTTCTTATATACTATTGACATTTTAAAACTTATATTTAGTTGATTAAAATTTTTTAAAAATAAAAAATGAAATACATTAAATTATTATCAATATTTTAAAGATGAAACAACTCTGTAATATTTTAAATATAGGTTTTATTATTACTTAAATAAAAAATAAATAATACTAACTTTTAACTTTGTACTAATCTAAAATTTCGTAAAATAAATAAAGAGTAAATTATGATAAACACATAGAGCGTTCTCTATATTTAAAAATTAGGATTGTTTTTAGATTACTATGTATTATCTAAATATTTTAAAGAAGTAATATATCCCGTGTTGCATTGACTAGAGAATATGTTTAGCATTAGCTCAGGTGGATAAAGCCCACCTTAGTAGCCCATGGGACAAAGGATCGAAACCCAGCTTGAGCATTTAATTTTTAATAAGTGTTTCATCTAAACCCATGAACCAACCGGTTCAAGCCGGGTCGCCCGAGTCGCCGGTTTTCCCGGTTTTGAACGGGTGAACTCGAAAACGGGTTTCAACAATGAACCGGACCGGACATGTGACTGGGTCACGGTTCAACCGGTTGGACCGGCCGGTCCGGTCCGGTCTTAATAACACTGATCTAGACAGAATTTATAAAAAGAAAAAAAAATAGAACCTGGGGAAGGATTTAGCTCGGGGTCCGATACCCGGCCCAGAACAGCAATTGGTAGTTCGTACACGGCTGCACAGACGAAGGCAACGCGCGGCGGAGGCACCCCAGTAGCTCAAGAAGGCAACCATAGTATTACAATTTTTTTTCCCTTTCATCTCTAAACAACTTTTGTTTAATTATATACTCCGGTATTTTCATTCATTATCTGAAAAAAATAAAATATTTTTGTCATTTTTTAATTTATAGAATTTTTGACATAATTTTTTAAACTATAATTTTTATATTTTATTGATATATCAATTTTAAAAAAAATAATTTCAAACGAAAGATATTTCCTTGTAAGGTTTCGTTCTCTACACCTTATTTGTGTTACTTACCAGAGTATTGTTTATTCTTATCAGATTCAAATTAGTTTAGATCAGATCAGATTTATTCAAATCAGTTAAGATTAGATCAAATCCATTTAGATCAGAAAGCTATTAAAAAAAATAAACAATACTAAAATAATACTAACAATTAGAATAATAACAATAATAATAATTAGGAAAAATTTATATAAATACTCCCAAAAATTTGGAATTTTACAATAATACTCCCAAAATCAAATAAAGACATTGATGCTCCCAATTAAGTTTTAAGTTTACATCATTACTCCCATTTTGTTTAATCAATTTTTCTAATTACGGTTACATATAATTAATTGATTGTGCTTAATCAATTTATAGTTTACCTCTCTTCCCACAATACGGGGGTTTAGAGGGACATACAGATTAGCACAAATATTATGCTTGCAATTTGGACCCGGATAACTTTCTTTGTTTGATGAAGATGAAGACCCGATGAACTCCATAGATTTGGAGCAGATCATTGCTTTCGATGGTTTCTCAATAAAACATCATAAACAATTGACATTTTTCCTTATGAGAAAGACTATATGTGATATGAAGAAGGAAGAAAAGTCACTCGTAAAGATTTATCGTTGAACCTTGGGTATGAAGAATGGAGATGAATAAATTTTGATTGTACTATACGCCGTATATTTTTTGACCACGCGAATGGTTATTACTCTTTAAAATAGAAAATACTCCCTTCGTCCTAAAACTTTTTTCCCAGAGCACTATTCCAACTTCACGGGAATTTATACTTATTTGTGTTTTTTCATGACCTATATGATAAAATAAAATATTCTTGTCACCACTTGTTTTGTTGAACTTTTGATGTAGTTTTTAAATATGTATGTTTTATTTTTTAATTCTATACCAATGTTTAAATAAAATAGATTGAAAAAATTTGGAATTTTTCTTCGTTTTGCGAACCGGGAAGAAAGTTTTAAGACGGAGGGAGTAACAATCAAATTTGTCAACTAAGCTCATTTAATGACACCTAAAAGTAAGAAAGATTGATTTAGGCAAAATGGGAGTAACCATGTAAACATAAAATTTAATTGGGAGCATATGAGTCTTTATTTGATTTTGGGAGTATTATTGTAAAATTCTGAATTTCTGGGAGTATTTATATAAATTTTTCCTAATAATTATTATCAACAACAACAACCCAGTTGAATCCCACTATAGTAGGGTCTGGGGATAGTGTGTACGCAGACCTTGCTCCTACTCGAAAGTAGGGAGATTGTTTCCAAGAGACCCTCGGCTCCAACTGCACAAAAAATATGATAAGAATCATAGTATAACATAGATAAAGCACCAAGTACAATGGAATGAAAGTCCTGTAAGCAATAGTAAAAATTTCCAACCAAACAAAACACACTACAAAAAATCTCTGAAGCACCGGACCCCTATCTATTATTATCATTATTAATTAATAATAATATTGTTAACTATTATTTGTAGTAATTAATAATAATAATAATAATTAAAATAATGATGATTAAATCCAAAACAATAATAATGATAATAATTATTTTAACAAATAATAATTAAAAATAATGATAACAACAGTTCATATTAATATTTATTTGTAAATATAATAATTGATAATTTTCATCATTAATCATAACACTTAGTATTAATAATACTTATTATTACTTATAATAATCATAAATATTAAAATAAAGAT